AAAACAATTTACTTGTCGGTAGATGAAATAAATTTCTTCTAGTCTCATCAACACAGTCATTTATTTTTCCGAGTTTCACGGGAATCATGACCATAATTTTCAGTCTCATAACTCTGAAGAGTCGTACAACTATCACTCACGTATGTGTTTCGGGAACATTCGTTTCTTTAGGTTCAACTATTCCTGCTTTCAGGCTTCATGTCACAATACTACCTCTTTAATACTACTCAGTAATTGTCAGGCTGTAATGTTGATATTAGTGACGGGAAGGATTTATGAAGAACGCCGATGATAAAGGCCTCAGTTTCCATGAAGGAAATACCAAGTCTCATAGGGATTGCTTCAGCCCTTCGAAAGTTGTTGGAGGGAATATACATGCGGACACAGGGAGAGCAAGCTGAACATGTAAGCCAATTTTTATTTCTTTCGAAATAAGGAAAAGCGACTAAAAGTAATACTGAATGCAAAGGTTCACAATATCTTGGCTGACGGGACACGAGGATCTCACGGGGCAGTTCCCAACAGATGGCTGTATTTTCCCACCCCCTGATCAATAGTTCTGTGATTTCGGAGTTGTCTGTACTATATCTTTGTTCAATAATGTAGGGTATAAAACAATTCTGGAACTATCGTACAATGCTGTTGTCTCCACGTACGCACATCCCAATAATAAAATCGTAGAAATACAATCTAAAAGAAATATAAAATAGAGGCATCAAGAATATGTTATGAATAAACCGACGCATTTCTGTGATCTGTCGGCATATTCTGCTACTATATCATCACGGAGGATCAAGGCGATTTTCTTATGCAGAGGAATTATAGCCCCATTTTCTTCCGCAGTGACATTCTTTCACAAACTCCACACTGCAACATGGCCTAGTACAATTTTATTGTCTGAAATTCTTGAAAGTTCAACTGAGGAATGAGAAGGAATCAGATATGGAAAATTGTCACTGTTCGCAGGTTCATCACAAGATAAAAAGACGTCAGAAACAGATAGTCTCAACTGGTGAAAAGTCTATACACAAAAGCTTAAGTTTCTCAGCAGTTTTCCCAAGGAAAAGGTAAAGCTATCCGTGTAACAGGCTGTGGAGACCCACTGGGCTGTGAGACCTTGAGGCTCCCGCATTATCTAGACAATCGACTCTCTAAAATAAAATGAGAGTTAATTATAATAACAGCATATTTACATTGTCGTCTTTTTTCCTATTTTTTATTTATTTCACTTCGTTCCAAATTGACAAAGTTAAATTGGTTCAAACTGTCTGTCTTCTAGAACAAGTTTGGGACATTTACTTTTGCAATTTTAATACGAGTATGCATCCTGTTGTGTGTTATAAATAAGGTATATAATGTGTATAGAAGTAAGCAGTCGTTTCCTTTTTCCTTGGCACTACAGCCCCAGTGGGCCCAAGCCTACCTCCATGAACTTCTCCGTTCACTTCGGTTTCTCTAGATCTTAGACATACGTGTGATCAGCTCGTCTCAAGGCCTCTACCTGTACACAAACACATGAAAACGCACACAAACATCCATGCCCTGAGTGGGATTCGAACCCACGATCCCGGCTTCCAAGCGAGCGAAGATAGTGCATGCCTTAGACCGCTCGGCTACCGTGACCGGCAGTATGCAGTCTACACAACAATATTCTCTACTTAAAAATAAAGTAGACTCATCAACATTTGTTTCTATTGACGCTACATGTTTCGAACTTTATACTTGGTCATCATCAGGAGTACAATGATACCAGTCTCGGCTGTTGAATTGCATCTGAAATTTTGCATCTAATTCTTCAAATAAGGATCCTCTTGAGAGTTTTTAAATGCATAAATTGAATCACTCACTCACTTATGGAGCTGAGTACTTCTTGAGAAGCTGCCAATTGTGTAGCTATTCAAGAATTTTCCAGCATTTTATGGAACCCGAAAGTTCATTACCGAGTTCACCAGAGCACTCCAGAGGTCCCTATCCCGACTCAGATCAATCCAATTCATACCCTCCCATCCTATCTCTCTAATATCAATTTTAAAATTGTACACCCACATACGCCTTGGTGTTCCCAGTGGTCTTCTTCCTACTGGCTTTCACATCCATATCCTACATGCATTCCTCTCCCCTCCAATTCGTGCTACATGCCCTGTCCACTACATCCTCCTTGACTTGATCACACTAATTATACTTGGAGAAGAATACAAGTTAGGAAGCTCCTCATTATGCAGTTTTCTCCAACCTCCTGTCACTTCGTCTCTCTTCGGTCCAAATATTCTCCTCAACACCCTGTTCTCAAACACCCTCAGTCTATGTTCCTCCCTTAATGTCAGAGACCAAGTTTCAAGCCCATATATAATCACAGGCAAAATTATAGTTTTGTATATTCTACTTTTTATGTATTTAACAGCAGAGGAGAAGACGAAATGTTCTCGACTGAATGGAAGCAAGCATTACCCGAGTTCAATCGCCTCTTAATTTCTTCCTGAATCAGGGTTCGATCTGTTATCGTTGTTCCCAAATATCTTAATTTTTCCACGTTTTCAAAACATGTTACCTATCTTTATGTCATGATTGTACCCTGAATTTTGGTGACGAAATAGCAATATATACTTTGTTTTCTCTGTGTTTACTTCTAGACCAACCTCTTTACTAGCGTCAATTAGAGTTTGTGTGTTTTTCTTTATGGTATCTATATTATCACCCAGTAGATTCACATCATCGGCGTAGGCCAACAGCTGATGTGTCCCATTTAATTTCAGTCCCACCTGGTTTTCCTGGACCTTCCTAACGGTACATTCTAAAGCAAAGTTGAAAAGGAATGGCGATAAAACATCTCCAGGTTTTAGACCATTCTGAAAAGGAAATTTATTAGACAAATGTTTACCTATACGTTTTTTCAAACACATTTTAATCAACCTAACTAGTTTCATGGGTATCCCAAACTCTATTAGAATATTGTACAATGCTTCCCTCATAACTGAATCATAGGCTTTCTTGAAGTCTATGAATAACTGTTGTGCCATCTCACTGTACTCCCATTTTTTCTCCAATATCTGACAAATGCAAAATATCTGATCCATATCAAAACCCACACTGATGGTCCCCAATAATTTTATCTATGTATGGACTAAATTTTGAGAAAGAATATTGGATAAGTTTTATTCCTGAAATGCCTGCTGGTTTCACGTCCTATATTGTTCAGATTAACCCCATAACTCGCTTGGATCCTGTAACCATTGCAATTTGGCTTGTTTTGTTCGGTCTAATAATTTTTAACATCCTTCATCGAACCATTATTTATGGTCCTTCAGTTCATAATAACCTAGACTCTCCTTGGTAGACATTTTTATATTCTCTCTAATAGTTTCCCACCAAGTTTTATTAACATCCACCTCAGTTTCCAAGTTTTCCAAAGCCGCAAACCTATTTGAGATTTCAACACGATACTGCTCTGTACCCTCTACTTCATTTAATTTCTTGAGATTGAACCTCTCCATATGAACTCTGCGTGTTTGTTTGCTCACTGCCAGTCTTTCCTAACCTTTGCCACCACCAGGTAGTGGTCAGTATCACAATCTGCTGCCCTGAATGATCGGACATCAAGTACACTTGAGTGCCCTCTCCTATCTATCAAAATATGGTCCATTTGATTGTGTATCTTCCCATCAGGAGATGTCCAAGTAAATTTATGGATGTTACGATGTGGGAACATTGTACTTTTGACAGTAAGATGTTTTGATGTGGCAAAGTTTACTACTCTAACTCCATTATCATTACTAATTTCATGAAAACTCTCATTACCAATCGTTGGTTTGAAAATGTCTTCCCTCCCTACTTTGGTATTGAAATCTCCTAACAAAATTTTCCTACGGTACTTCGGGAATTTATCAAACACATGTTCTAGTTTTTCCCAGAACCTGTCTTTTATATCATCAATTTTATCTTGTGTTGGTGCGTGAATGAAGGGAGATAAAGTGACAGGAGGTTGGAGAAAACTGCATAATGAGGAGCTTCTTAACTTGTGCTCTTCTCCAAGTATAATTAGAATAATCAAGTCAATGAGGATGAGGTAGACAGGGCATGTAGCACGAATGGGGAGAAGAGGAATGCATGTAGGATATTGATGGAAAGCCAGATGGAAAAAGCCCAGTGGGAAGACCAAGGCGTAGGAGTGTAGAAAATATTAAAATTGATCTTAGAGTGATAGGATGGGATAATATGGATTGGACTGTTCTGGTTCAGGATAGGGATCAGTGGATGGATCTTGTGAACAGGGAAATAGACTTTCGGGTTCCGTAAAATGCGGGGAAATTCTTGAGTAGCTGCAGAATTGGCGGCTACTCAAGAAGGGCTCAGCTCCATGAGTAAGGTAGTAAGTAAGTTGTTGGGGCGTGAACATTCATAACGATATCACACCAGCGACCTTTTAGTATTATATGTGATATCCTGTCACTAACGAACTCTACCCTCTTAACTGCTGATACGATTCTCTTATGCATGAAGAAACCTGTACCTAATTCATGATTTTCATTCCCCTTTCCATAGAAAAATGTATAGTCTCCTGCTGGTTCGATGGCACCTTCGTCCCATTTGACCCCCTTTACTCCCACTAAATCTAACTTATATTTTAAGATTTCTTTGAATCTTTCAGTTAATATTTTAAATAATTTGATAAAATTTAAAATTAAAGACTAAAATTAAAATTCTATAAAAATTGAAATGAAATATTTTATGATAAATCTGTTTAAAACTTTGTGACCACTCTATGTTGATATTACTTTCTGGTAGAAAGAGCGACTGCGCATAGGGATCTTCTCTCATTAATTAGGTCGTGTGGTTTTGACCTTACTATCGTTTTGTGGAGCTTATGCTCTTTATTCTGTATGTCACCCAACAACTTGTTTACTTAGAGTGATCTGTAAGAGTTTTTTTAATTATTTTAAGGAGAAGCTTGTAGGTATGTTGTTATTAAATTCATTATTAGGTTATTTAGTATATGTACTTACGTATATTTGATATGTGCGGGCTGCTCCCTGTGTTGATGCTGTCACAGTTCGGTCTAGACGGTCGAGACTAATTGTTTGGGGTGTATTTGTATATGTGGGTATGTCTGTAGTGAGTCGAGTAGTATGAGGTGGGGGTGGAGACTGTTGGGGGGTTGGAGAGATGAGGAAGGGGTCGGGCTATTTGGTGTGTGTGTTTTTACTACTTCGTATAATGTCAAATATCGGGTTATGTATATCTGTAAACGTTTCGTCCGCCTGTAGACCTTTCTTCGTTGTCTTGTATATAAAATATCTTTGAGTTTTGGTGCTTTCCTCTCTGTATGTAATACTTTCATGATCAGGTCCATCATGTTAAATGTATGTCCAGTTTCCAAAACGTGTAGTGCGACTTTAGGGTGCTGTTTATTAGTCCTGATGGCACTTATGTTTCCTCTGTTGCGAGCTCTGAATGTGCGGCCCGTTTGTCCGATATATTTGAGAGGGAATTCACCGCATTGTGGCTGGTATCACTCTGCTTGCACATAAGTATCTCCTGGTATTCCTTTATATTTCAAACGGTGTTTGATTGTATTGGTTGTCTTGCAAGCAATTTTACGGTTTGTATTTCGAAATAGGTTAGTGATGGTTCTAGTTTCTGGTCCAAAATATGTGAAGGTGGCATATTTTGATTTTTCTTTTTGTGTATTTAGCTGTGTTTATGTAGGATTTATGGGCACTTCATTTTGATATCGGAAATTTATGGGTAGTTTTTAGTACTCGTTGTTCTTTAGTATCTCCTTTATAATTGTCAGTTCGTGATCCTTATTGCCTTGGGTGAGGGGATGTGTGTTCATACGGTTTAATAGATAGTTTACTGCTGATCTTTTATGTTCGTTTGGGTAGCATGAATCGTTATGTATAATAGAATCTGTGATGGCGGCTTTTCGATATATGTTGAATGTTAATTTGTTGTGTTCCCTGATAATTATCATATCAATATAATTTATCCTATTTTGTGTTTCTTTTTCCACTGTAAATTTTATTTTAGGGTGTACATTATTAAACTCGTTTAACGTGTTTTATATATTTGTGTATTGTTCATTGTATACGATCAACATGCCATCAATATATCGGTAACAGTCTATAATTTGGTGTTTATTCAGGGTTTGGTAGACTACTCTATGCTCAAGCATACCATAATTTATCTTCTCCAAGTCGTCCAGGCCGGCTCTGGAATCCACCCAGTCTATCCAATGGGTACCTGGGGCTCTTTCCCCTGGTGTTAAACGACAGAGGCGTGAAGCTGACTACTCACCTCTAACTAGTGCCGAGGTCAAGAAAATATGAATCTATACAACCACTCCCCCATACGCCGTCATGGCATAGTGCATAATTAGTTACGCACAGGGAAAACTTTTTAGTAAAGATCTGTAACCCTGCGTGACTATGACGCAATATAAAAGATGTTTTAGACACAGGAAATGATATGTGTCAGCCTTCTGGCTCTAGTTTCCCCATTAAGGCCTACTAGCATAGTTGATTGAGGCACTCTGCTACAAGCTGGAAGATCGCGAATTCGATTCCCGATGAAGTCATTGGAATTTTCATTTGACCTAATCTTTCCAGCCCTGGGATTGACTTGGCCTCTAACAGAAATGAGTACCAGGAATATTCCTGGGGGTAAAGGGCGGCCGGCGCGTGAGACTGACAACCTCACCGCCATCTGTGAACTGATTGTCTAGAGAAAATCTGGGAGCCTCGACGACTCACAACCCTATGGTTCTCCACGGCCTGTTACAGGAGTTTATACCTTAGCTATTTTATTAAGGTGTACGTATCAATTTCTCACACCCGTGGCACGCGTTATGCCACAAGCCTCATCTACGCCGTGTCGGGAATTATATAAAAGGGTAGCATCAATGCCTGTAGGTCCCTATTGAGGCAGAACAGCTCATGAGGAATTCTGTAAGTCTCAGAACTGAGGGGAGTGTTACAATTGAACAGAGGAAATCGAGTACAATTAGACCATACAGTCCCATGGACTTAAGGAACATGCAGACCTGGTTTGACAGGGCACGAAATTAATGTGACTCAATTTTTCACAAAAGCGCAGATTTCTTACTTCCCCCCTCCCAGAAGGCTCGTAAAACATTTCGAAAACTACTGTTGTACTAGGTCATCCTCTTCTTCCATTCGACATTAGATATCCGTTACAGTTATACTTTTAAATCACATTGATTACTTTGTGTGCCACCTGCTTTAACGTTAAGAGCACTTGCATTTTGTTGGCAGGTGTCTGTGTGTGTTTCGAATGATTCTCAGAATAAGCAGCTATAATTTAACTAAAGACTATTTGCTGGCGCCGATCTCTGTAAGGGAGTCTCTGTGTATTCATTGTGCAGGAGGACTTTCACATTTAAGTGCTATTTAGATAAATTATATGCTTTAAAGTATTAATAGAGGTCCTGCGAATAGTCCGTGATCTATTCCTTCCAGCTGATTCCATGAAGCAGGATCATCATGGAAATGACGATGTTTACCTAGGTAAGGGGACTGAGACATTAATATTTCATTTCAAGTTTTACTAAAAAAAAAGCATCGAATCCTATCCTAAGTAAATCAATGTAGTCCACAGCCCATTTCTTTAATATCCATCTTAATAATATCGTCAATCAACGTCTAGCTCTACCTACTGTCTTTGACTTACACAATATACAAAGTCTCATAAAACTGTGAGACATTTAGTGACTTCGAGGTTCAGTTCGTTTCTGTGGAACACAAAACATTACTGAGATGGAAATATTTGTTTATCCATGCTGGCGTCGTCTTACAACAAGAATCTCCGCGGTCAGGAGCAGCAGAGATGCCACGAACCCGGCACCCAGAATTGCGAAGATGGGAAGTATGCTGGAGAAGTCCACTGAGTGCCAAAGTGGTCTCTCAGGGAGCAGCTTGCTGGGCCACGACCGTTGCTTCAACCTCTTGATGGTGCCACTGCGGAACATGGCCTGTAAGCTGAAACAGGAGAGCCTGAGGAATAGCAGGGGTAGGCAGAACTGTGTATGAAGACACCGAATTAGGCACTGGAATACAGACCGAACAGCGAAGAATTCCTGGGTCCCTGAAGTAAAAATACTAACACCAGATTCACCCAGTGTATACCGTATTTGTTTAATCCTTTTCTCCCTACTTTTCTATTTTCTCTCATTCTTTATGTCTCAAATTGTTGTTCTCCAAATCAACAACTTTTCTGTTTGTCTCTTCTTCATAGACTTTGTTTATTTAAGGCTTTATGAAAGGCCAATTTTCTCCTGACATTTCCCTATTTCCCCTTTTCATCCAGTCATTATGTATATCAATAATTCTTCCAAAGTCAGAGTTGCTTTGCGACTGGCGGTTTACCGCCAATCATTTCGTCTTGGCGTGAAACCCTTTGAGGCTCATGAATCAGATATTTCTTTTCAACTCAACCCTTGCGGTCAAAGTCCTTATGTAACATTCTCTCGAGCGAGAGGACTTTGACCTCTGACGAGAGGATGGGTTTGTCTCATGAATATGCTTGGCTTTTTTTCAAGTGTACATATCGCACATGTACAGTAGCATGCTATTGAAAAGTCTTCATTTTTCTGCGCAAGTCCTCTGTCAGTACAGGCTTTGCAAAGTAGATACTGCCTGTCTTACGTATCTTATGCTACAACAGCAGCTTAGTCACAGTAAACCTTATCTTGTAAAGCTACTCATTTTAAAGACAGAACAATGTTTCCACTCTTCACTTTACTCCCATTGTCTCGTCTAGAACTCAGGTCCCAGTTCTCCCTCCTCATAACTGCACCATTTTCCACATTTTGTTCTGTAAGCAGCTTCAAATCTTACGTACACTGCCACAGTCAGTAAGTTCGTGGAACGGCCGCAAAGCGCCGTACGGGAATTTACTGCCAATATGTTTCAGCAATGTTTTCGCTAGCTATATCAACGTTGGCAGACTTGCATAGTGGCCAACGACAACTATTCTGAGGTCCGATGTGGATCTGTGTAAGTATATATGAATACCTTGTAATATGATGCGATAAAACCACATTCCACGAACTTAATGACTCTACCACGTAGATGTGTCCTTGCTCTCAGGGATGCATCTGGAATACCATTAGTGTTCCTGTATTTCTAATTATCACTTTTGTCTGAACGAAGTCCTTCCGAGAAGAAAATGTGGAACTGTTGTTTTAGTTAGGAAGAGCATTGACCATAACCGTGAGACCTGCCGCTTGTTTCAAAATAATCCATAGAGATTCGCACACAGGTAGGTAAGCTACTTGCGGCAGGCCACGCCTGGAATGGTACAGACATCAGTGACCTGTCGAGCTTTGGACATTAATCTATATTAGCCACTTGTATTCATTTGATATACATGTACATGAATTTGAGATTTCAGCTCCACGGCGTTGCTTATTATCCTCCTGCGAAAGGTTGTGGCGTGCTTAATATTATGGTTCAAAAGAATATTCGTTGTCAATGCCATTTTCTCTCATGTCCTGGGCCCCGTTCAGCTACCAGTCGTATCCCACATACTAGATCTATTACAGCTAGGAACCTTTCGCAACCGGTTCAAAATTCACGGATTGGAATGGTTTCAAAGCCTTACCCCAGACTAATTTTACGCAGAATACAAATTAACTCGGGTGAAATAGACGATAAATCAGCACGCCTAGGTATGTTGGCAGTCGACCAACATGAAAATAACGATCTACGTCACCTGGACCATTGGTTAGGAAACGCAAGTTCCCTCTCCTCATCACGGCGTCCAGACAGGCTCTGCTGCCCACGCAGTCTCCTACCCAGTGAGCACCGGAACTGGTTAAATGGGAACAAAGTAAACGAAACCTGAATCTGTTTTCACTTCCTCCTATGTCTTCATGGCATGGCGCTTAATTAAATAAACCAACAAATTTACTTTTACTTTACTTTCTGATATAAAGCTCAGTGGTACCCACTTGTAATTAATGAGACCCCGATAGGGGCTCCCCTTGGCAATGCTCATGGCCAGGCTTTCGGGTATGGATGCGCCAAGGACACTGGACAGTTTGCAGGTGATGCGGTCTAGTAGTCCCAGGACTACGTCCAGTGACGTCATGAATGCGTAGTTGTCGATGTCACAGACTCGTTGCATACCTTCCTCGATAGATATCGGTAGCTGATCCTTGTCGGGGGCTATAAGCTTAACGTACACTTCCTTCATCAGGGCATCAGTTGCATTCTGCAACATACATTTGCGAATTAGATGCATAGCAAAGTCACTAACTTAGTCACTATGTACTTAAGTTGCTAAATAGATATGTATCCACTAATGATCCTGTCTTTCCAGGCTATACAACCCGAGTGACAGGAATTCAATACTGTAACGTTGGCAACGCCACCAATGTTTATGGGTTTCGGAGACATGACAGCAGTGACACTGTTTTAACTCCTATCTGTGCTGTGTTTTTGGGAGCACCAGCATAACCATTCTCCAAACCAAAGAAATAGTTAAGTTTCGTCAAACGGTCTTTGTGTTGCGCTCGGCGTGGCCAGGATAAGCCTTCAGTAGTTAGTAGTGCTCAAAGCGTGGCGTCATCAATCTTCTTATGAGTAACATTAGGGATCGCTAAACACAGCCAAGCGGTTTGGGTTCAGCTAAGCATGGCATAGGAATGGAAACGCTACATTTGAAATATATGGAAAATTACGTTGGCTCTTACAGTATTGTGTCTCTTATAGTTAATTTCCGCAGCCTGCAGAATACTGACTGAATGTTTTATGGTCGATCGCAGTGGCCAAGCGGCCTCGAGTTTTCAGCAGAAGCGCCACCTGGTGGCGCGACTACGGTGGCCCCGTGTACAAAAGGCTATACAATTGAAGCTTCCAGCAGAAGCGCCACTAACGGCGCTGCGACCACAGTTGCACCGTGTGCAAAGGGCCTAAAGGCGCGCCCACATTACTCGTGCTCGTCGGAAGACTCGTCTGGCTTTTACTTATGCCCGTAAATCTTCGTCCACACTACTTCAGTTGCTCGCCAAGCTTCGGCGAGTGAGGATCCTTATATTTACTCGTAGTGTGTATAGGTTGTAGTAGTATTTTAATTTATTGGCTATAGCTTTTAAATTAAAAATTTAAAATGTGCATGTCTCGTGACTTGTCATATCGTCCACATTACTCGCGAGCATAGCGAGTCACACGACCACGAGTAATGTGGACGCGCCTTAAGGCATGAACTGTTTTCGCTTGCTAGAACGCTGGGATCGTGGGTTCGAATCCCACTGAAAGAAATGGAAGTTTGTATGCGCGTCTATTTTGTATTTCTGTTGTCATGTGTAGGCAGCGGCCTTGCGACATGCTGATCCCCCGTCCAAGGAGTCTTACCGATTTTGTGTAGGATTAAGAACCTGAAGAGAAGGTCAGGGCCCAAAAAAGGGTTGTAGAGCCATTGACGAATTGGTGGATGAATTGAATATTTTATAGTTTATTGTCTTCTACAAGTTCAACATTTATATTGAATTATAGGATAGTAATTTTCTAGCATATCTCTCTTCATGTTAATACGTGGAAATAAGGTTTAACTCGACTTTATTTACCAAGTCTTCATCCAGGACAACCTTAATAGCAACTCTATTCAAACTAGAATATAAAATGCACCGTTCTCATAGCCTGGAGTTCTGTGGGATTCGACAGGAAGAATGACTGTGCTGACGATGAAAAGCAGCAATTTACCCGACCGACCGGTGGAAATAGAATATACATTGACAGAGAATAAGCAAAGGTCATTCAATCATATACACTGAGCTACTAAAAATGCCGTTAAATAAACCGTAAGTAAATAAATACACGTAAATATACATATTACTTTAAATTGTCTATTCCTTTCACATTATATCAAAATTAGTTCCTATCATCGTAATATTCGTCATTGTACATTGTAACCCAATGGAAATGTCACCAAATAAACTATGAACCAACAAGCAAATCCTGTAAATGTCTGGGTATTACCCTCAGCCAAACCACTCTCTCTTCCTTAAGCTCACTTCCCGAATATAAGTTGTTTATCAATCCGTAGTACGAGCTAGCCGGAGCGACTGACGGGGATATAAGGAGATCAAGAAGTCGCCCACTTCACACTAAGCAATTATATTTTCAATAGTAAAGTCAATTTACCGACTACACAACACGTTTTTTATTATCACTACATGTTTCGACCTCAAGAGGTCATCCTCAGGTGTACGAACACGGCTGTATAATTACACGCGGTCACATTCGCTTTTTATTCGACCCTGTATCTTATTCAGGCTCACACTCAATAATATATCAAGTTCTTTTATAAAACACAAGTTAAAATATTATTCTAATTTAATTGTTAAAAGTTAATATTTCGTGAATCGAAGCTCAATTCATGTCACTGGTCACACTTTCACTTACACCTGTTTTACAGTCTCATCCCACTCACACTCACCACTGTGTCCAGTTCTTTCTAACCAGTTTAATTATTATTATCGGTTAAAAGTTCGTGAATTAAAGTTCAACTTATTATGTTGGTTGCACTTTCACTTGTTTGTGGGGTCCCGCTGTTCTTCCGCGTCCTCTGATGCTGCTGGATCTGTTACGATCTTTGTCGTTGCCCATCACGGCAATGATCATAACAGATCCATGCTGTGTGTTTGTCTGCTTATACCCCTATCAATTTCTCAGTAGCTCAGCCAGTCCTTACGAAGATTGATATTTATGTCATGGCACCTGAACCCATCTCAACTGCGTACTTCATAAATCCCTCACATAAGTCTGTGTGTCTCTATGTATATCCCCCATTGGTGCTAGGTAACGGCTCACTAAAAACGTTACCGCTGGAACAAGTACACACGCACCAATAGAAGAATTGTTCTACGCGTCATTTTCTGTGTGGTTCGTGTCATATCAAAGGAAAGCAGAGGGTTAATTCCTTCCAGAACTTCTTGTACTATGCTCCCTTTGTTTAACGGAACCAATGAAGACGCTAGGCCTCTCTGAAGAAGATAAATGGATCATGAGAGGTGGAAAATTGACGCTAGGTGTCCGTCAAGGGAAAAGCCTCGGTAAAGGAGGTTTTGTCTCCAATACGGGGCGTGGGACTATTTCAGAGAAATAAAGAATAAGCAGAAGTTAGGGCGCCACAGAACATGCTGTCCTTTCCTTCCAATTTGCGTAACGGCAGAGGCATTCAAACGGAAGTATATTATAGCGCAACGATTGGCTGCCCTGTGTCTGTGTCTAGGATTCCAGTATCGGCCACAAGATCCACTATTTTGATCGAAAGTTTCACAGTCTTGCTCTTGTGTCCAAGTTAGGAATGGATTAATTAAGCCATGTAGCACAGCCCCTATTGAGAAGCTAATAATCGCTAAAAGCTAAATATTATCTAACGGTTTGTGACGATAGTAAAATACAAATATTTCTTATAGTGGAAGGTGGAGTCCAGCTGGTCCACTCGTCACGGCGGCCACTGATTGGCCTATTGTACTTGCCCCGAGTGATTATGATGATGGAGAATTTGGTGGAATGAAGATTGACAGGGGAAACTGAAGTATTCGGATAAAACCTGCCCCAGGGCCGCTTTTTCCACCACAAATCCCGCTTGACCAGACCCGGTCTCGAACCCGGACCGCTGCGGTGGGAAGCCAGCTACTAACCGCTTGAGGTATGGCGCGGCCTAAATCTTTACATCAGTCCTCCATGAAGCTCGCCTTTCACTGATCACTCCCGTTGTCATCGTTACTTATATTCACCCCAGTTCAGTCCAATCTTGCTGGCCATAAACACACTCGCTATCTCCTCCTGTAAATCACTTCCATTTTTCCCGCATCTCGACTCCACACTGTGTGTTCACTCACCCTCAGGTAGCTCCCAGCCACAAGTCCCTAAGTGGCCATTACCGGAACACAAGAGACAGCCATGGTTCATGCTCAGGTCAGGTCAGGTCAGGTCATGTTACAACTGACGGTCAGTCAGTCTGTCGGTCTTGGTGTCGAGCCCCAGCTGGGGCTCATGACCAGATATTTCTTTTCAATGAAAGTTACCGTCCTGTCCATGTGTAGCGCCCTCTCTGACGAGAGGTCGGGTCTGTCATCTGTCAGTCAGTCTGTATTAAGTCTATTTTCTGTATTTACATACATTTACAAATACACACTTAATCCTTACTTCTATGTACAATATATACACAGCCTCTGTCAGTCCAGGCTAGGTACAGCAGATTATGCTCTTTATATATGTATATATATATTTCCTAGTAGTATTAGCTACCACGGCAGTCTAGTCATTTGAACGGTCGTATGCCTGACCGCCGCCAAGTTTAAGCCTCTTATACTTTATGGTTCATGCTACGCGCTAGTCCCGCATTTATTTACCGAGATGTTTATCTTACACCTTCTCAGGTCTCCAAGGTACACGGGTAGGCAATTCAAGGCCCCTTCTTGAAGGTCTCGTAAGATGTCAAATCATGGATTTATAACTCAAAATACCTGCCTACCTCGACGGAAGATAACACTAGGAGCAAACGTTAATGACAATAGTGGCACTATAAGTCTAAGGAGGACTATGTTGAATTACAACTAGACGGTCACTGGATGATACCTCGCTGTAGGTGCGCCACTATGTGCTAACAATGTAAAAACTGGTTATGACCACAATTAAATCATATTAACGAGGGAAGTACGGTTATAACCTACAGCAGTTGTAGACGATAGAGGGTTGGGTATCCCGTGTGAAGGCGGGGTTGAGTAACTCCACCGTAATCCTGCGAGTCGCAGGAGGCGACAAAAATAGAAGTTTGGACTCTTGAGAGTGTAGAATATGGTCGCGTGTCCCACGAGACTCGGACTCGAGGACCAGCAGCAATTGTAAACATCAGACCCGTCCACTCGTCAGAGAGAGCGCTCCATATCAACAAACCCACAACTGTTTGACAGTAACAAAAATCTGGTCGTAAGCCCCAGATGGATGTTTTATTCCTAGACAGACTGGCCGACTGACCGTCAGTCGTAACATAAGACTCGACTCGACGATAGTGTTAAGTGTGACATTCAGTCGCAGCTGAGAAGCCGTCAGTCGAAGAGAATTCAGAAGGCAGCTGAACAGTTGAAGAGTTGAAGACGCGATTTCATGTGTTATAATTTCAGTAATCTTGAGAGTGTTATCATTCATTTTAGTTACGACTTGCAGGTATCAAATAAATCGACTCACCAGTTCAAACCCCGTCTACAAGTCACTAACACACGTGACATCATTATTCATATTGGAAAGTTTTGAAATGTGGTGTTGGAGAAGGATGGAGAAGATCAGTTGGACCGATTATGTGAGAAATGAAGAAGTGTTATTTAGAGTCAGTGAGCAGAGGAATATCCTACACGAAATAAG